AGTACCGTAGCGGGTCGAATCTGTCTTAAGGACAGAGTGTCACACACTCAACTTTGTCTTAATTTTATTTGGGTTCGATAAATAAATCTGGTATGTTATTTATTTATTTTGTTTGAATTTATTTTCAAGTTATTTTATTTTACACAGAAGATTATTCCAATAATATTAGTACACTAATTAGTACATGTAATACCACCAATAATTTACCGCCCTGCGTAAGAATAGTATAATTTACCGTCCGTAGCACTACCGATAATTCATTGCTCCTTGTTTATTGTTCAAGATATGATTGTTCGTTCATTTACACTCACAAATAGCTTGCCAGGTGGTCCTCACAATTTGGTTAATACACTGACATAATATTTAGAAATTTCAAGTGCACAAAAATTGATAGAAAAAGAAAAAAAAATAAAAAAAAAAATATATATATATATATTTGTGTATATGTATTCAGATGTTGAGAAAAATATATAAGTTTTATCATAACTATTCTCATGAAGGTAGTGTTTTTTTTTTCCTCATATAATTTATTGTAAAAAAATATAGGATTGTACATTGCGAAAAAGTTTAATTTATTTTTGTGTCTTGTAAATTAAATAATTAATAAGAATTATATTATTTTTATTTTATTTTTGTTAATCCATCTTTTTCATGAAATATTTTTCTGCAGTGCCATATTCTTAACAACTTAAAAGAAAGAAATTATTTATATATTTTACTTTTTATGAGTGACTGAATATATATATATATATATATATTAAAAACATATGCATTCTTTTCTCATTTCTTTTGCTTCTCTTTGTAAATTAAAATAATCCAAATATAACTTGAAAATGGTTAGATGAAAAAAATATATTACAGAATGATGAAAAATCATTAAAATATATATATTCATTTAAAAATAAAATTTCTTACATACTTTTATTCCTTTTTTGTCAGTAAGTATTTTTTTTTGTTTTTGTTTGCAATAGTTAAATAAAAAAATAAAATAAAATTTCTCACACACTCTTTATTCTTTTCTCATTTATAGGTTGTTTGAAAATAAAATAAAATAATCAAAAAGTTTTTAAAAAAAATAAAAATAGTACGAAAAGTCAATACATTATTATTATTTTTTTGTCTAATTACTCTAAACGTCTTACTGATTGAGGTTTGTGTTACTTTGATCTCTGACTTTTTAATTGTGACATATTTCACTCTGAATTTTGAATCTTATTTCAAATAAGGACAATTGAGTATACAATTGCTCAATTTCAAGGGTCATGTCATCAATTTGATAAAATATAAACTAATTTAATAAAAATAAATGTCAAAAAATATTTTTAAATTGTTAAAAATTATTTATACCCACCAATGATAAAATTGTGTAAAATTAGTAAATCTTTCACACATTTATTTATTTTATCAAATTAGGCTTTATTGTGGGTTCGTTTGGCATTGGCTTTTTTAGCTAACTTTTTTGTATTGGGGTTTTTTTAGCCTCATTTGGTTTTTGTTTTGAGATTTTTTACATTTTTGTGAGAGAAAAAATTTAATGATTATGGGTACAAAGTAATATTTTGTCTTATTGGCTTATATAGCCTATTTTTTTTTTTGTGATTATTTAGCTCCAAAATGCTATGTGTTTGGATGATTATCATGTAATGGGTGATTATTTTTATTTTCTTTAAATTAATTTCTATTTTTCTAAAAGTTAAATATGACTACAACTTTGATATCATTATTAAACCAATCCATTAAAACAAAAAATTCAAAACTAAAAACATTTCATATATTAAATATATCAATTAGACATTAAAAGTCTAGCAATCACCCATTATATGATCATTATCCAAACATATAATAAAAATTAATTTGGTAAAAAAATAAATAAATGTGTAAAAAATTTATCAATTTTACGTAATTTTATTTTTTGTGAGTATAAATAATTCTTAAAAATTTTAAAATATTTTTTTGACATTTGTTTTTGTCAAATTAGTTTATATTTGATCAAATTGATGATTTTACCCTTGAAATTAAGCAATGATATTTTCAATTGTCCTTATTTAGAACAAAATTTAAAATTCAAAGTCAAATGTGTTACAATTAAAAAGTCATGAACTAAAGTGACACAAATCTCAAACTATAAGAACTATTAGTATAATTTGTATTTTTTTTACAAGTGTTTTTCATGAAAAAATCAAAAAAATTATTTTAAAAATCAATTCTCCAAATGATCCTTATTATTTCCCCTCTCTTCTTCTTTTTTTTTTTTTTTTTGTCAAAATGGTACTCTGTCTTTGTGAGAGTATCTCCAATCTAGTATAAGATGCTTCGTCATTTGATGAAAAGTACTAAATGAGGCACACCAACCCTTTTATTAAAGTCATATCAAATAAAGGCAAATGAAAGAAATTTTTCATCTTTTATCAAAAATTTAAATTTATCATTGGGCTAGATATCCTCCTGGATATCCACCAAGAGTAATTTTGATAACTTTTTATAGTTCATATCCAAACAACCTTTATGATATCCACTCGAACAATTAGAGACTAAAAAAATCTAATGAAAATTTTAACTTTAACATTAGAATAAATAGTATCAAATCAAATTTTTTATCAAAATTCTATTCAAATTTAATAAAATTTTTAATTCACCGACATAGTTTACTTTGGTGAATATACTTCATTAGTTATTAACCATAAAGCCAAACTGATCTGAATTCAAAAGAACTCAGACTATCCAGGAACCCGTTTTCAAAACTCCAAAAACTCAAACCTGCATTCTAGTTATTAACGTAGTTCGTTCGTTACAATGCGAGGACATTTTCAATAACAATATTAAAAACTTCGTTACAATGCGAGGTCATTTTCAATAACAATATTAAAAATAAAAACAAAAACAAAACACACAAAAAAACAAAATAAAGGTTCTGTTTGTTTGTGCTCTGAAAATAGTTTTCAACACTTGAGTTTGAGCATGATGTTTGGTAAGAGTTTTAGAATTAATTTTCCAAAACTCTGCCGGAAGCTCTGTCCATATGTCAAAGCATTCTGTTTGTTGCAGAGGGGGCGTTTGAGGGAACGGGACGTCCGGCCGGTTGACCGGCCGACTGTCCGAAACAGTGATTTTTTTTTTTTTTTTTGGCAATTGATTTTTATAATCGGAAAAAATATTTTCTGAAAATTTTTAAATTTTTTATATACTTTAAAATAATTTTGAGTTGTATGTTTAGTTATGAATTGTAAATTTTTGTATCACATATCAAATGTCACATCAATAATTCCCTACTCAAATCAAACCTCTTTTTCAAAATTATTTTCAAAACTCTTTACCAAACAAATTTTCTACACTCAAATTATAATTCTACAAAACACAAACTCAAAATATAATCATATTCTCAAATTACATTTACAAAATACAACCAAACGCAGGCAAAAAATATCTTTCCGTGTCTCTCTCTAGAAACCGTTTATTTTCTCTCTCTTTATCGATCCATCTCTGTTCTATTTGCATTTGTGAGTATAAATAATTCTTAAAAATTTTAAAATATTTTTTTGACATTTGTTTTTGTCAAATTAGTTTATATTTGATCAAATTGATGATTTTACCCTTGAAATTAAGCAATGATATTTTCAATTGTCCTTATTTAGAACAAAATTTAAAATTCAAAGTCAAATGTGTTACAATTAAAAAGTCATGAACTAAAGTGACACAAATCTCAAACTATAAGAACTATTAGTATAATTTGTATTTTTTTTACAAGTGTTTTTCATGAAAAAATCAAAAAAATTATTTTAAAAATCAATTCTCCAAATGATCCTTATTATTTCCCCTCTCTTCTTCTTTTTTTTTTTTTTTTTGTCAAAATGGTACTCTGTCTTTGTGAGAGCATCTCCAATCTAGTATAAGATGCTTCGTCATTTGATGAAAAGTACTAAATGAGGCACTCCAACCCTTTTATTAAAGTCATATCAAATAAAGGCAAATGAAAGAAATTTTTCATCTTTTATCAAAAATTTAAATTTACCATTGGGCTAGATATCCTCCTAGATATCCACCAAGAGTAATTTTGATAACTTTTTATAGTTCATATCCAAACAACCTTTAAGATATCCACTCGAACAATTAGAGACTGAAAAAATCTAATGAAAATTTTAACTTTAACATTAGAATAAATAGTATCAAATCAAATTTTTTTATCAAAATTCTATTCAAATTTAATAAAATTTTTAATTCACCGACATAGTTTACTTTGGTGAATATACTTCATTAGTTATTAACCATAAAGCCAAACTGATCTGAATTCAAAAGAACTCAGACTATCCATGAACCCGTTTTCAAAACTCCAAAAACTCAAACCTGCATTCTAGTTATTAACGTAGTCCGTTCGTTACAATGCGAGGACATTTTCAATAACAATATTAAAAACTTCGTTACAATGCGAGGACATTTTCAATAACAATATTAAAAATAAAAACAAAAACAAAACACACAAAAAAACAAAATAAAGGTTCTGTTTGTTTGTGCTCCGGAAATAGTTTTCAACACTTGAGTTTGAGCATGATGTTTGGTAAGAGTTTTAGAATTAATTTTCCAAAACTCTGCCGGAAGCTCTGTCCATATGTCAAAGCATTCTGTTTGTTGCAGAGGGGGCGTTTGAGGAAACGAGACGTCCGGCCGGTTGACCGGCAGGCTGTCCGAAACAGTAATTTTTTTTTTTTTTTTTTTTTTTTTTTGGCAATTGATTTTTATAATCGGAAAAAATATTTTCTGAAAATTTTTAAATTTTTTATATACTTTAAAATAATTTTGAGTTGTATGTTTAGTTATGAGTTGTAAATTTTTGTATCACATATCAAATGTCACATCAATAATTCCCTACTCAAATCAAACCTCTTTTTCAAAACTCTTTACCAAACAAATTTTTTACACTCAAATTATAATTTTACAAAACACAAACTCAAAATATAACTCATATTTTCAAATTACATTTACAAAATACAACCAAACGCAGGCAAAAAAATCTCTTTCCGTGTCTCTCTCTAGAAACCGTTTATTTTCTCTCTCTTTATCGATCCATCTCTGTTCTATTTGCAGTGATTGATCGAAGATATTGCTTCGTCACATTTTCATAAACAAAATCACAAAAATCAAAATCAAGTTCGTTCACTCTCTCTCTCTCTGTGGATCCATTTCTGTTCTGTTGTATATACTGACTCATATATGTATTGATTGATTGAAGATACAGCTTCGTGATCGGAATCAATGGCTTCCGAGCAGTTGATATCTTTCTCTCTCTTGAAACCGTTTTTTTTCTCTCTCTATATGGATCGATTTGTGTTGTGTTGTGTTGTGTATACTGACACTGCTAGCATCGTGATCGGAATCAATGGCGTCCGAGCAGTTGATGTCCGGTGGTGGACCTCGCTACTTTCAAATGCAGTCGGAGCCATTGCCGTTGGAGTCGTCGACGTCGTCGTTCTTCTTCTCCTCCTTCTCGCATCAATGTCTGGAATCAACTCGAGTTTTCGATGAGTTGCCCAAGGCCACAATCGTGTCTGTTTCTAGACCTGACCCTGCCGATATCAGCCCCATGCTTCTCACCTACACCATTGAATTCCAGTACAAACAGGCATGATCTCTGAATCACTCGCCCTTTCAAATTCATGTAATTGTTTAGGGAATTATATTTTATTCTGCAAGCCGAAAGCTTATGTAGAGTTTGAATTTTAAGACAAAAGATCATAACTTCTAGGCAAATTCAATCAGTGATGAGCATAGGAGTTAAAATTTTCAATTCTGATCTCTCTACAATTGTCGGCTGATTACTTTGAATTTTTTTAATGGTTAACTAGAAAGAAGTGAATTCTTTCAGAATCTAGAACAAAAAACGTTTTTTTATTTTTATTTTTAGAAAACCAAACCAAATCAAGTCACATCAAATAGGATCGATTACATAAATCCTACTTCTTCACTTGACTTTATCCAGGCTATTTGGTAATCAAATTAAGGTGATTCTTTACTACACTAGTCTACGTCAATCTAGGTCTATCCTTCCCCTAACACTTCCATCTACCATCATTGTATTGCATATCTTTCACTACTGGCTCTCTTAGTCTCCGTTGTATATAATCAAACCATCTCAATCTATTCTCTCATCACTGTATTGTATCTTTTACCACTATTTCTGTTGGTCTCCATTGCATATAATCAAACCATCTCAATCTACTCTCTCTCAACTTATCTTTTATCTCACCCATTCCCGAATATACTAATTCCTAACTCTGTCTTTTCTAGTCTTGCCACACATTCACCTTATCATCCTCATCTTAGAAATACTCATCTTATCTACATATTATTTTTTAATTGTTCAATATTTCGTCCCATACAACATCACTGGTCTAATAGTCATTCCACTGAACTTTTCTTTTAGTCTACTGAGCACTCCTTTATCACATAGTAGCCATACATACTCCTCCAAAAGATGAAAATATTCCTTTTCCTGTTGGCTGGATTTATTTATCAGAGATTAGAGATGAGCTATAGATTTTGAATGCGTGAAGATCATCTGAATTACGAAACTGGGAAGTCAACATCAATTAAGCCAAAATGTATTTTACTTTCTGTACTTGGTAACTAGTATATAATTGTTTAGGGAATTATATGCCCACATAAGTAGCTGCTTGTGGGTTGTTTATTGACGTGTGAATTAATCAATGGAAGTTCTTATGACGCAAGCTGAAATCTTATGTAGAATTTGAATTTCAGGATAAAAGATCATAGGTTTTTGGAAATTTTAATTAGTGACGATGATCGAAAGATTTAATTAGGGATGAGCGAAAGCGTTGAGTTTATCTACTTTGAACGCTCTAGAATTGTCAGCTGATTACTTTGAAATTTATTTATATTTCCAGAAACTAGGAAAAATGAACAAGAAATGGAAAAAGAATAAATAAGAAAATTGGCAGAATTTGGATATATTTTCCTCAATTTTAGTGGATACAAAAAAGAGTCCCTGGAAAAATATGACATTTTTCATTTTCATACGGGTTGAATTTATTAATTAGATTATGAGCTCTAGATATGAGTAGTTTAGCATCAATTAAGCCAAAATGTCCTTTACCTTTCTAGATAGTACTACTACTAAGTACATGGTAGTGCCATCATGTTAGTTATTCTTCTCAGGGATGGATGGTTATACTTTCTTTGCCTCCATAGTTTGGTGACAGTGACTAACATTTCTCTTTAAAATTATTTCACTGGTTCAAATAGCAGTTGGAAATTAATGCCTACATAGTCTGGTGACAGTGGACTATCATTTCTCTTTAAAATTAATTTACTAGTTCAAGTGGCCTTTGGAAATTAATGCTTACGTAGGCCGGTGACAGTGGACTAACATTCCCCTTTCAAATGAATTCACTAGTTCAAGTGGCAGTTGGTGAAGAAAGCTTCACAAGTATTTTATTTGCACTTCGCATTGAAGAGGCGTGCATTTATTGAGGAAATTCATGAAAAGCAAGAACAGGTGTGTTTAATTTGGTTTTTGTCCCCGCATTTTTTACCTTGTAATCTCATGTAATTCGTGTCAATTTTCTAATCTTTGATGTTGTCTTGTTGTGAAAATGCATTTTTTGGGGTCTTCATGTTATCACGGTGCATGGTTTTACATTCTTCGTATTGATGGCAAATTCTTTAAGGTTAGAGAATGGCTGCAAAACCTAGGAATAGGTGATCACACAACAGTTGTGCAAGATGATGATGAACATGATGATGAGACTGTTCCTTCCAATCACGATGAAAGCACTAGAGGCAGGTGACCATTGATCACATTAGTTGTTTAGATGATTGAGAAAGCACAAAATATATCATTTCCACTATAATTGTAACAGTTCTTACAGGTGGTTTTTTGTTCAGAGATGTTCCATCTAGTGCTGCTCTTCCAATTATTCGACCAGCTCTTGGAAGGCAGCACTCCATATCAGACAGAGCAAAGGTTGCAATGCAAGGATACTTGAATCACTTCCTCAGCAAAATCGATATTGTGAACTCTCGCAAGGTATGCCAGGGGTCTTCTATTTCAGAGATGGTTGATGCTTCTTTACTGTAGTTATAGCTTCTAGTAGAAATTCAGATATATGTGAATGATTCTTGGTGTTTTCTTTTTCTATGAAGTTGCAACTGTGTATTTGGTGGTGCTTGTATTAGAGCTGAAGTTTATTTTGCACTGCTGGATGTTGCTTTGTAATGTGTTTTTCAATGTGGGAAGTCTTGTTAACAACTAATGCTATTGTTAGCCAAAGACCATGTTGCTTTAGCTTAATTCAGTCCAGTATGATCCCCCTTGCATTTACTTTATGTTAGTGGGCTGAAGGGTTTTTCCTTGTGAAACTTCCACTTATCAGGCTAAAACACTGACTGCAGATGTTATGCTGCAATTTACACTCGTATGCAATAATTAACATGAATGCAGCTGGAAGACAAACTAAACAAGGCAAGATGTATCTTGGTTGATGGCCTTCTTTCCATCCCAGCACATCTGAGGGTGGATTTTTTCTCACTGATTTTACAGTTCCAATTTCACTGCTTTCTCTCCTTTCGAGCACGTTTTAGCCCGAAAGGAGAGACGATGCAGTGATTGTATGGGTTTTATTTTGGAAACCTTTCAATTGGAATGTGTTATGAATAAACCAAACTTAATTTGCCAGTCTTAGTTTAGTTTGCATTGGTTAGTGTCCTCAGTGTTGTGGTGGTTTATCAATGTTATCATGTACTTCCTGTGGCAGCTATTGGTGGGAGTTTTGTGATGATAAATGAGTGATGAGAGAGTGGTTCTGCAACTAGGGTGGATGGCCGTAGAGCTTTTTGATGAGACAATGGATAGTGATGAGGGTTTCACCCCCCTCCATAGAGAAGTAAGAGTTTAAGTTGTTGGATTTGGTTGCATCATGAGGAGTCCGGGGTAGTTGTGTGCGGCCTTCAAGGAGACTTCTTGCTTTAGGGGTGTGCTGTCTCTGCAAAATAGAGGGTTGCGTATTGTTGTGGGTGTAGGCAAGTGGTGCTCAGTTTGTGTTCCAGAGTGGAGAGATCTGCTATGTGTTCCCAGTCAGAAGCCAGGGATTGGGGTTTGGTTTTTTTTTTTTTTTTCCCAGGTGGGGGAGATGCATATATATATGATTGGAGGGACCTCTGCAATTGGCATGTGAAAAGAGTAGGGATGATTGTGATGTGGCGGTGGATGTGGAGTTGATGAGGAAGACAATGAAGTATCTGGAGAGATGTTTGGTGGGTCGGGTTGGGAGCTGGTTGAGGAAGCTCGCTAGTGTGACAGAGATCCAAATATGGGTAAATCAGAGGTGGGGTTTTCAGCTGAGGTCCAATTTTCTTTTTAAAAAAATTTCAGTGGGGCATTCTGCCTCTTCATATTTCCTTCAAAGAGGAGGCTTCAAGGATTCTCAATTAGTGATAATGGGTCTTTGAATGGAAGCCAGTTATCCTCGACTGGTGGTCCCATTGTCATTAGAATTGATGTTTCCAGTGTTGTGCTTTCATCTATTTTACTCATCTTTTACTACTATTATTCAATCACTCTGTGATCAATAATACTGTGCTTCTTTCATGCGTATCTTTGTCAGTTTCCTCATTTTGTTGCTTCAGCTAACTGTTGAACAGTAACCCTATCTCCAAGCTCTTTTGTTACATCCTTTTAATAATTGAAGATTTGCACTCAATTGATTTTTTTATGTTTGATAGGTCATTTTCTTTGTTTTTATATGTAACCCATGAATTATGTGAAATGTATTTCTGTAGCTCATATCTGCATATACATGTCTTCAATCTTGGCGGTAATCTCCAAAGATCACTTGGTCAATTCTCACAACTTCATTGTTTGGACCTTCATTTATGAAATTTGATTCTCCTGGGATTTTTGCTGTATAATTGAACCTCTTGTATTTGTTTTCATTACTATTCCATTTTTTTATATTAGTCTTTCATGGCGAGCATTTTAATACTGTAGGTTTGCAAGTTTTTGGAGGTTTCTAAGTTATCGTTTTCACCGGAGTGTGGCCCTAAGCTAAAAGAAGACTATGTAATGGTGAAGCATTTACCAAAAATTCCAAACAATGATGATTATAGAAGATGTTGTGCATGTCCTTGGTTCAGCTGTTGTAATGACAACTGGCAAAAGGTAACACGATCCTTATCTCTGAAAATTACCATGCATATATATATGTCTGTTTCATTAAACTTGTATGTTTTTATGGAGGTTGATTCTGGTGCTGCCTAAGTGCTTTTCTTTCCCTTTATATACATTGATAACTGGTTTGAATAATTGGAGAGGACAATTATTATTTCTTCTTAGTGGTATATGTTTCTATGATCAATTTTTTCCCCCCCCAAATCAGATCGGTCAAACTAAGGTGAATGTTGCAGGTGGTAATAACTTTGTTGGCCTGGGATGTCTATCTAATTTATATTTAGAAGAAGAATCTCAGTTTTCTGCTGGTGTACCAGACTTTTTACTGGATGATACTGACATGTGCGTTAATCTTATAAATATCATAAATTCATAGGATACCACTTGGCAAATATTTCAAGGCAGAAGTTGTGTTCTCGGTGATAATAATAACTACTTGTTTTACATTGTTTTATGTTAAAACTCTTGTATTATTGATTGATGTTTGATTGTATTATTGATTGATGTTTGATTGATTTCTGATATATTGTGTTAGTTACAAATTCCTATATATAGAAGAAAATGTGGTAGTAGGTGTAGGAGTGAAGTGGAGGTGGTAGGTGGAGTGTGTGGTAGCGGAGGTGAGTGGAGGTGGTAGGTGATGATATATTTTAACATTTTATTTTATTTTTACCAAAAGCACATGGGTAGTAATTTTCTTGAGTTAAGTGGCTTGATTGTAGAATCAGAATGGCACATAGAAATTGTTTGGTGCACAATGTAGAAAAGTCTTCCAGTCATCCATTTGGGCAGCTTGTGAAATTGACAGCTTCCTCAGTTGGGAGCATCAAATTCGCACGCAAGAATAATATGATGGTAGACCATAATTGGGTCTGGCGGACTGTTCTTATATGGTCCATCTGCTAAGTTGGTTCAGATTAAGTAGTTTTGAATTTCAAACATAAACTAACTGATTTTTGTACACACATCACATTTGTGAATAATATCAATTGCAAATGATGGTTTTGCATTCTTTGTCCCAAGTGTGGTTGTATATGTGCATGTTATTTGACTTGATCAAAAGAAAAAAAAAAATCTGGGACGTCCCAAATTGGATATTTGTTCCACCCTAGTGAGCCTTTTAAGTCCCCATCATTTCTCCAAGACTTATGACCTTTTGGTGGTGGTGTGTGGGTTCGGACTTCTTTGACCAAAATGTTCTTGTGAGTGTCTTTGATATTTACCTTCAAGATTAAAAGAAAGAATTGTGTCCCTTGTCATCTCGGGTGGTTGTCCTGCCACAGTTAGCATGTGTCTTATTAACTCTGTTTATCACTCCAACAACTAGACCCTTTTGGAGGTAGTGAGTGGGTTTGGAATTCCTTAACCCAGGTGTGGTGCTGATTCTGTGTTATGTAACTTTGATCTTTGATGCTTGAAAGAATTTATTTAATTGCTTAATATTTGATGGTGGATAATGCAGATTGCAGACAATTCCGGTTCTTTTAAAATTCACATTATTCATAGTTACATCCCTAGGGATGTGACAAGAGGACTACGTATCAATTTATTGGGTTGGGCAAGTCAAGGGCCTTATGTAAGTCCTCCAAGAGCACTTCAATTTATCCTGGCCAGATCTCATACTAAGTAATATCTACCTTAAATCCAAGACGTGATGAAATTATATTCTCTTTCAATATTTGTCATCTTTTTTATTTTCCAGCTCTTAGATCCTATTTGGCCGTTTAAATAGGGGACTCAATTTTATGCAGGCTCTTAGGATAGTAGTTATAAACTAAGTAAACTTTTTGATTGGGTGAGTACTTTTGGACATTTTAGTTTTTGTAACTCAAATTGATTAAAGAGGAATGACACATTGATTAAAGGCCAAGTTGTCAGTTGGATGACTCTTATTCACATTCCACTTGATCAAGGAAGAGAATGGCTGGATTTGAAATTTAAATAATTGTTATTTTTGTTTCCTTTTCTGAACTCTATTGAACAATAGTTTCCAACTTAGTATTTATCTACATGTATCATTGAAGTTTACCTTAAAGATAATTAAAGGAAAAGAATAGCACAAATAAAATTCATATGCTGAAAATGTCGATAGACCACACCATTGTTCCGACTCTTCAATTTTTATACCCTTCCTTTTTTATCTTGCTTCCCCCCCCCCCGGGCTGCTTTGATCAGTTAGGTTTTTTCAGAAATGGACTAGAAGCAAGGTTTTGAAAAACAATTGCGGTCACCGTAACGGTTGTGGTGGCGCGATTGTGGTTACGGAGTGTAAAGGCTGTAGCGTAACGGTTGCGATAACTGGAATTGTGAATTTTTTTATTTTTCGCCAAATTTGAAAAAACTTACTGATACGCATTTTTTTTTCCAAAATCACATTTATTGGGGTTTAAAATAGATTTTGATCAATTTTTGTTAGTTTTTAACTATGATCCAATATGTTTCATATTTTTAAATCACTATAAAATAAGCTTTTTACATTTTATTTTAATAGTTAATGACTTTAAAAATAATTGATTTTAAATGTCTACAAATTATTTTTTACCAATACCTGAACCAACTAAATAAAAAATATTTACAATTATTAAATGAAATGATTATAAAAATAAAAATTGTTGCATAAACAAAAATTATTTTTGAGCTACTGATTTTATTTATTTTTTTTAAAAGACATTTTTTTGGCAACACATTTCAGTAACAAAATAAAAAATATTTACAATTCAATATTAAATGAAATAATTATAAAAATAAATGCAACGACTATTTATATTACATGCTAATGTAGTGAAATAAAAAATTTTAAAAAATTATAAAGAAAAAAAATATTCATAGAAGATTTTTTTCTTTGGGCTTGGATCGGTTGAGTATTCGTTCTTCTTTTTTTTTTGTAAAGTTTTGTTTTTTGTTTTTTTTTTTTGGAAAAGGAAGCTATTCAGAATATTGTAAAAGTATGTAATGGTATGTAACGGGCCATTATGGTACCGTTACGGCCGTTACGTAGCACCAAAACGGCCGTTACACATTCGAATTTCCATCACACCGCAAAAGTGAATGTAACGTGTAGCGCCTACCACCGCAACCGTTACGTAACACCGCTTTTTGAAACCTTGACTAGAAAGTTGTTCAGAAGAGTACTGTCTTCCTTACAGATATATGGGACAACCAATTATAATGAAGGTTGGACCTGGATGTTAGGGGTGTTCGTGTATCGGTTTGGTTTAGTTTGGCACTAATTTTGGAACAACCCAATCATGATCGGTTCCAAGTTTTTAAATCTAGAACCAAACCAATCATGCACTAGAACCAACCCAAGCCAACCCAATGTAGCTCAGGGTGGTTCGATTTGAAACTACGGTTCCATTATATTAAAAATAATTGAATCAACATTGTCTTATGATTTGTCTACCTTTGATTTTGCATCAACATTTTCTTATTCTTCCAAGTGCTTTAAAAATTCAAATTGAAGAGATTTCACATGTTCACCACAACTACTATCAATGGGCTTATTAACTTCCATTTCATTTTGTAAACAAATGATGTATTATTGATTTATATTTGATTGATAGATTACAAGATTGATGAATTACAATTCCTATACAATCTATATATAGAAGAAAATGTGGTAGTAGGTGTAGTGGAGGTGATAGTGGGTTAGGTGAAGTGGAGTGTGTGGTGAAGTGGAGGTAGGTGAATGATGTATTATTGATTGATATTTGATTGATAGATTACAAGATTGATGAATTACAATTCCTATACAATCTATATATAGAAGAAAATGTGGTGTTCGTGGATCGGTTTGGTTTAGTTTGGCACTAATTTTGGAACAACCCAATCATGATCGGTTCCAAGTTTTTAAATCTAGAACCAAACCAATCATGCACTAGAACCAACCCAAGCCAACCCAATGTAGCTCAGGGTGGTTCGATTTGAAACTACGGTTCCATTATATTAAAAATAATTGAATCAACATTGTCTTATGATTTGTCTACCTTTGATTTTGCATCAACATTTTCTTATTCTTCCAAGTGCTTTAAAAATTCAAATTGAAGAGATTTCACATGTTCACCACAACTACTATCAATGGGCTTATTAACTTCCATTTCATTTGAACTTCAACACATCCTATTTAAAGAATAACTTGAAGCAGAGTCTAGAATTTCATAATGCACATACATACGGTTCATGAGTTCTCTTATTCTCCATACTAAATCCTTTACCATGTTAGTAGACTAAATCATTTAACTTGAAAAGCAGAGTCTATTAATCTTAGACCAATGATCCAAAATTTGTTCAATTGCACAAACTTCATGAAAATAGGAATATGAAGTAAAATACATGACCATGGTAATCTAAAGACATGTCAATATAAAAAATAAATAAAAATTTTAAAATTATATATACATATATAGGTTCAGTTCTAGGATTGTCTAAACTAAGAACCAACCCAATCCTATCGGTTAGACAATTTGAAGACTCGGAACCAAACCAATGCACTAAAAAACCAAACCAAACCAAACCAACCCAAAGTGGTCCATTTGGATCGGTTCTTCAGTTCTTTGGGTATTTCAAACTCCCCTACTTGATGTAATTTAACTACTAACATATTCCCTTATATTCCCTTTTATTCTATGGGATCACAGGCATTTGCCCTAGTAGTCATGGAGAGGGCACTTAGGCTTTAGGTTCGAGTCCATGGAAAGGTGTTGGTCTGCATTGTAATTTTACTAATAACATATTAACATCTATCTTATGCCAAAAAAATAGAAAAGAAACACAAGAAATAATTACCATGATCCTGATCTCTCTCTCTCTCTCTCTCCCCCTCTCAATCTCTTTGATTAAGTCCATAATATTGTTGAACAATCTCCTTTTACATTTTCTGCTTTATTGCTTCATGACTGACAAACCTTGAAATATTTTTAATTTTTCTTTCTTTTCTTTAGTTCCTTTAAATCCATCATATTACAGTGTTTGGATAACAGAAAATTGTGCCCACAAGAATAAGAACTTTTGCATCTGGGTGATATTATATGGCATGGGGCACAAGTGGTCCTATTTTGGCATCCTGTTATTGTTAGTCTTCTAATCCAACTTTTTACAACTAAGTTTTGAAATTGTAGTTGATGTTTTTTTTTTTTTTGTGTGTTTTTTTTTTTTGTGTGTGTGTGGCAGGTGTGGGCTGTACTGAAACCTGGATTCTTCTCCCTTCTAAAAGATCCTTTCGATACAAAGCCGTTAGATGTAATAGTTTTTGATGTACTACCAGCCTCAGATGGGAATGGAGAGGGCCGAGTGTCATTAGCAAAAGAAATAAAGGAACCTAACCCTTTACGCCATTCATTTAAAGTAAGTGGCGTCCTTCTTCTTCTTCTTTTTGTGGAGAACTCAACGTGCAGATTCTTTGTTATGCCCATAGGATTTTTGTTCTTTACTCTTTTTTTTTTGGTTGATTAATCATTGTTGTTTGCTCTAATTAAAAAGATAGGTATTTCTGGCATATAGACGTTGAAAACTGTTAAGTGTTAGGAGTAGTTTGGTCTTTATGTATTATTCTTATTAGTATAAGTAGTTATGTGTAAGGGGGAAACCCTATGCTTTTTGAATCAATATTATACAGCAGCTTTCTCTCGTTCTATTTCTTCTTCTTATTCTTCATCTTCTTCTCATCTATACATTCAACATGGTATCAGAGCACTATCTTCCTCCTTGAAGATTGTTCCTTAGGCTTCATACTGTTCTGTAAAAATTTATGTATAGAGAAATAGAGAGAATTGTATTATTGATTGATATCTGATAAAGATTGTTCCTTAGGCTTCATACTGTCCCTGGTGCGTCTGTTATAGCAACAAAAAAAAAAAAAAAAAATACAGTATGCTCGAAAATTAATTGGTAATCACCCTATAATCTCATTTTGATTTTTCGTCAAAATTGGGTGATTTTTCAAAAATCACTGTTTGACTCTATTTTTTTTGGTTTTGTCCCTTATTCTCCTATCCTTGGGAGCCGACTGGAACCCTAGAGGGGTTTATTGTCCCTGGTTTGATGTATTTTGGCCCTCTCTTGGTTTTTTATCGCTGTTCAGATGCTCTGCTTCGGTTTTCTGGCTTGTAGTTGATCTGGTTGCTCTGTTTTGGGCTTCTCTTGGACTGTTTTAGCCTTAGAAGGTATTTGGTGTGCTAGTTGGGTGATTTCTGGAATTGTTTGATATCCAGCTTGTGTTTTTTGCACCCTCTTTTCTCATCTCATGGCTGACAACTTGGGTCACGACTCTAAGGGCAAGAAGGAGAGTGGATTGAGTCGTGGTCTGACTCTTGGTGATAGTCCTTCTCTCCAGATTAGTCTGGTCAAACTTAATGGTTTTAATTACTTGATTTGGTCCCGCTCCTGTAGTCTTGCCATTGCTGCCCGACGTTTGACTGGCTATATTACTGGTAGTACCCAGCCACCTACTGAGGATAGTGCTTTATCTGCTCAATGGATTTCTGAAATGCTTTAGTTATGACCTGGCTCATCAATTCTATGGAGCCTACCATTAGTCGGACTTTTCTCTTGATGGATACTGCTCACAAGATCTGGATAGCTGCCTCTCAGATGTATTCTCAACAAGGGAATAATGCACAGGCTTATGAATTGTGTAAGAAGATTAAGGGTTTGGATCAGAAGGATCGCTCTCTAACAGTCTACTATGCAGATTGAGTGGTTTGTGGCAAGAGCTAGATTTTTACCATAGTTTCTAGCCAATTTGCTCCAAAGATGCCACTATGTTTTAGCAAGCTATAGAGAATGAGCGGGTGTATGACTTTCTTGCTGGTCTGAATTTGGAGTATGATCAGATACGGGTTCAGGTGTTGGGTCGCTCTCCGTTTCCTACATTGCGTGAGGCTTATTGTAAAATAAATTGATAGATAGAGAATAAATTGTATATATTATTGATTGATATTTGTAATTGTTACAATGATTCCTATATATAGAAGAGAGGATGTGGGAAGAGAATAGGTGAGTGTGCAGTAGGTATGGAGTAGGTGAGGAGTAGGTGGAGAGTAGGTGAAGTAGGTGAGTGTGTAGTAGGTGGTAGTGGTAGGTGTGTAGTAGGTGAATTTTAACAGCCCCCCGCAAACTCAAGGGGGATAGGAACTAACCAACTTGAGTTTGGAGAGAGTAACAAAACAAGAAAATACATAAAAATAAAAGAGGATAGGAGACACTGTATGGTCGTGTCAGACCATTGGTGAAGACACTGGATGGTGGTGTCATAACGTTGTAGAGGACACTGTATGGTGGTGTCAGACCGATGTAGAAGACAGTTTATGGGGTCATGTCGGACCGTTGTAGAAGACAAGTCAATGGTGTGCCACCCCTTTCAATCTGTAATTCAATGTTTCGGTCCACACTGTCATCAAGTAATGTTTCCAATTTTAGGAACTGAGTAATTACCTGCACTAACAATTTTGATATATCAAAAGACAAGTCATGCAGGTCATATTTCAGAAATTCAACATGAAAATTATGACTCGAATTCCACAATCCAGAAATCAGCATGCATTGGTTTCTGGAAAATTGAAACAGGTTACTTGAAACAAAGGCTGTTCAAAAAGTCTAATCCCAAACTTCACTATTATGAAACAAATGTAAAATAAGAAAAGAAATTTTACAAAATTATAAATCTAAATTTCAGCTTTGATAAACTTCCACAAATTAATTTCACCCCCTACTGATAAAGTTCAACATAATTTAGAAGTTTAACTCAAAATTTCATGTTTTAGTTTAAAATTCCTTTAGCATCCACAAAACAAGTCCAACAAGGCAAAATTAAAAAGAAAAAAATAATCATTGCAAGCTGGAGCCTGCAAAGATAGCCACAACTAAATTTTTAAATAAGTAAGAAAACAAAAAAGTTGAAGAAGAAAAAGGCAAGAGGAGCACATAGAGAAAGAACAATAAGTTTATATTTGTTCAAAATTTTCATTAAAAATAGAAAATGCAGCTTGGAAAAAAATAAATGTTCAATATAAAAAACATAATAGGAAGTAAACAAGACACACAAATGGAGTTAATATGTATGTGGTACACAGTTGAAGAAATACTTACATCCCCATTTATCCGAACAAGCACATCACCAGGCTCCAAAAGGCTGTGAGCTGGGCCACCAGGCAATGTTACAATGATTCCTATATATAGAAGAGTAGGTGGTAGTAGGTGGTAGATGGAGTAGGTAAAGTGGAGGTGGTAGGTGGAGTAGGTGAAGTGGAGGTGGTAGTGGTGTAGTGGGTTTAGTGGAGTAGGTGAGGTGGTAGTGGTGTAGTGGGTTAGGTTTAGTGGGTGAAGTAGGTGATAGGTTTTAACACCCGAGTATTTTTCTAACCACCAAATTGGACTGGTGTAGAATGGTGATCAGGGCGAAGTCCCGATAGAAATAAAATGAGTGTATTGTGCAAATCTAAATGGCTTGAAGGTACAAGACTGAGCAGAAAAATGAGATTGAATGAATAGAAGGTTTTCTTTTTTTTTCTTTTTTTGGATAAAATAAAATAAATAAAGAAAAAAATAATAATAATTAATTTTGAAAGCAAACGGAGGAAAGAGAGGGACAAACTCATGTGGATGTCATGATAAGAAAAGGCAAAAGAAAGAAAAAAAAAAGAGAAAAATGCAAACAGGAGTGGAGACAAATTGAGTGGAATTCGGTGGAAAGAAGAGAGAAATCAGGATTATAAATTGCTTTGGCTAGTGGTAGGGCCCACCAGCACTATTCACTTCAAAAATGTGGAATGGTGAGCAAGAGGTGGTGAGCAAGAGGTGGAAACAACAAGCTTGTCTGCATGGAAGAATTATAATTATCAATACTACATACCCATAATATTTACCCAGAATTTTACTCAAACATCAATGTGGTTCATATTCATTATTTACATGGACCGCACAAATACACCAATTCATGATAATTTTCTTGACTGTCTGCAGGCATTCAACATTATTGCCATGCAATGAAATGGGTAGACAATGATACCTTTACCCACGATGCCCTCAAGAGTCTGCAGCAGGCTGAGAGATGCAGCAAGATCATTGGCCCATATGTTTCTTCCATCAACCACTCCAGCAAAGAGGTATTTTCCTGACGGGAATCCACTTGTAATCAAATCAAGAGTTTGTGCTCCGCGAACCAGATCAAAACCAAAACCAGTGACACACTTCAGGCTGGTGAGGGTTTTAAATGCCTCAGCTGGAACATCAGCAAAGTAAGTCTCGACAATAACATTCAGGCCTGACAAAGCTGATTCTAGCTCAGAGTAGGCAGCAGTGAATGCTTGCAATTGGTGAGATTCAAGATCCTTCACAAGGGTGGGCTCATCAAACTGAATCCATGATGCACCAGCGGCCTTTAGCTCGGCAACAACTTCCTTATAGATTGGAAGGATTTTGTCTAAGAGGGAGAGAAGAGAAAATGATTTCTCGACACCCTTTGCAGGTTTTGAGAGCAACAAATAGGACACAGGGCCAACAAGGACTGGAACGGTATCTACTCCAAGCGCCTTAGCCTCCTTATATTCATCAACAGCCTTGTGGGAAGCATATGAGAACTTGATCTCAGGTCCCAACTCAGGGACAATGAAATGGTAGTTGGTGTCGAACCACTTGGTCATCTCCATAGCAGGTACAGAGGCATTTCCTCTAGCCATGGAGAAGTAAGTGTCAAACCCAATCTCACCACCTGTCCAACCATATCTAGGGGGAACAGCGCCAAGCATCGCGGTTGTATCAAGCACCTGATCATAGTAAGAGAATGTGTTGCTAGGAATATACTTGATGCCAGCACTGGCCATCTGCTTCCAGATGGAAGACCTCAGATCGGCTGCGACCTTTTTCAAATCCTCAGCACTGCTCTTCTTATCCCAGAAGGATTCCAATGCAAACTTGAGCTCTCTCTTGGGGCCCATGCGAGGATATCCAACGATGTGGGAGGCCATTTTTCTTTAGGAGGTAGAACCGGAAGAGAGAGAAATCTGCGATTGGTTCTTGGTGAGTGAAGGCGGAGGAAGGCGGAGTTTCGGTTCAGTTATGGAATTTGTGACAGCGTAGTGAAGGTATGTGTAGAGGTCCGGCGGACGGCCAAGGTGAGACTGCCGCCCGCCGGTGAAGCAGAATGACTAGGTTGTTAACCTTGCTCTGATACCATGTAAAAATAAATTGATAGATAGAGAATAAATTGTATGTATTATTGATTGATGTTTGTAATTGTTGATCTATTGAATGTTACAATGATTCCTATATATAGAAGAGGTGGAGAAGGAGCGGGTGTATGACTTTCTTGCTGGTCTGAATTTGGAGTATGATCAGATACGGGTTCAGGTGTTGGGTCGCTCTCCGTTTCCTACATTGCGTGAGGCTTATGCCCTGGATCAGCAGGAGGAGAGTCGTCGTAGTGCCATGGTGCATACTCCTGTTCCGGATCGGTCAGCGATGGTTGTCGGCCTTAAGTCACGTGATACTCCGCCTTTTCTGCCTCCAGGTGGTGGTAAGGGTCCATTGGTTGATGGGGACCGGTTGAAGTGTGAGTATTGTGGGAAAGATAGACATGATAAAGAACACTGTTGGAAGTTGCATGGCCGCCCTACTCGAGGCCGTGGTGGTGGTGGTGGTGTTCGTCCTCAAGCACATGTTTCTGAGACTACTGCTAGTGCCTCGAATGATGCTGGTTCTCATATTTCCCCGGATAAGCTTTCCACTCTCAGACATTTGATAGCTCGACTTGATTCTTCATCTGCCTTAGCTTCTTCCTCTTCTGCCTCTTCCAACTTTGCTCACACAGGTATTTCTACTAGTGCACTCAGTGCCTCTTCGTCGTCTCCTTGGATCATTGATTTCGGAGCTACCGATCACATGACGGGTACTTCTAGTTTTTTCCATTCTTATTCACCTAGTTCTGGGCGAGATAAGGTTAGAGTGGCTGATGGCACTTTATCTTCTATCTCCGGCCAGGGTTCTGTTCGTTGCACCTCTTTACTTTCGCTTTCATCTGTTCTTTATGTTCCTAATTTTTCAACTAACTTACTTTCTGTTAGTAGCCTTACTACTGCTCTCAATTGCTCTGTAACCTTTTTTCCAACTCATTGTGTCTTTCAGGAATTGGCTACGGGGAAAATGATTGGCAGTGGTAGAGCACAAAGTGGTCTGTACGTTCTGGATGCCATTCCTGCTTCACCTTTGTCCTCTCAGGCTCTTCAATGCGCTTCTGGCTCCTCCCTTTGTCTCCTTCATCAGTGGCATCGCCGTTTGGGGCATCCTTCATTTAGCATTTTAGAGAAACTTTTTCCTTTATTAGTTCGTGATTGTCCTAGGAATAACTTTGTTTGTGATGCTTGTGAGCTTGCTAAGCATAAACGTACTTGTTATCCTTCAATTAATAAAAGAAGTACTTTTCCTTTTATGCTTATTCATACCGATGTATGGGGTCCTTCCCCTGTTGTTTCTACCTCTGGTTATCGTTGGTTTGTCACATTTATTGATTGTTATTCCCGTGTGACTTGGCTTTATTTACTTCGTACAAAAAATGAGGTTTTCTCATGCTTCAAAAGTTTTCATACAATGGTATCCAATCTCTTCAATGCTACTATCAAAATTCTTAGGAGTGATAATGGGACTGAGTATGTTGATGGCGCTTTTCGGGCATACCTCGACGAGCATGGCATTCTTTATCAGACTAGTTGTGTTGGCACTCCTGAGCAGAATGGAGTTGCTGAACGTAAGAATGGCCATCTCCTTGAGGTTGCTCGCTCTCTCTTGTTTACCATAAACGTTCCTAAGTCCTTTTGGGGGGATACGATTCTTACCGCGGCTTACTTTATTAACCGTATGCCCTTTAGTGTCCTTCACTTCCAAATTCCTCTTGAGCTTCTTCCTGTGACTTATCTCACTTCTTCCCTTCCGCCTCGGGTTTTTGGTTGTGTCTGTTTTGTTCATCTTCACCCTCGTACTCGTGGGAAGCTTGATCCTAAGGTTGTCCGGTGTGTCTTTCTTGGTTATTCTGCTACTCAGAAAGGCCACAAATGCTATGACCCTCACTCTCATAAGCTGTATGTTAGTATGGATGTCACCTTCCGTGAATCTGAGTCATTTTTTTCTGGTCCTCCGCCATCTCCTCAGGGGGAGCGTGGTATCGATGAGATTGCGGATGAGATGGCATCATATCAGCATGAGTTGTCTTTTTTCCTTCCTACTTAGCGGGCTGTTATTTGTGGTGAGGGGGAGCCTAGAAATTCTGTTAATGAGGAGTCGGATATCGGTGGTCGTTTGGACAGATCTGATCTTAAGACTTATTCACGGCGTCAGAAAGAGCCGGCTTCTCTTGTGCCACCAAGTCAATCATCATCTTCTATGCCAGTTCCACACCCAGTGTCCACTAACTCTTCAGGTAATGATCCTCATCTCATTTCTTCACCTGTTGTTGATGGTCCTGTTACGGATGATTTGAGTCTTCCTATTGCTCTCAGAAGGGGTTAGAGCTTGTACTCAATACCCTATTTCTAAATTTGTGTCATATGATTCGTTGTCTTCTCCGTATCGTTCTTTTGTTTCGTCCCTTTCTTCTGTGTGTATTCTGCAGGGTTAGAAAGAAGCCATCAATGATCCTAAGTGGAAGGTAGCTATGGTAGAAGAGATACAAGCTTTGTGTAAAAATAACACATGGGAGTTGATGTCTCTTCCAAATAGGAAAAAACGAGTCGGATGTAAGTGGGTGTTCACCATTAAGCACAATGCAGATGGGACGATTGAACAGTACAAAGCAAGACTAGTGGCCAAGGGATTTACCCAAACATATGGAATAGATTATCAAGAAACTTTTGCCCTGGTAGCAAAGATGAATTCCATTCGGGCTATTCTATCATGTGCGGCTAATTTGGGATGGCCTCTACAGCAACTAGATGTGAATAATGCTTTTCTTCATGGGGATTTGGAGGAGGAGGTATATATGGATGTACCTCCAGGATTCTCATCTCAGTCTACAGTTGGAAAGGTTTGTAGATTAAAGAAGGCTTTGTACGGTTTGAAACAATCTCCTAGAGCCTGGTTTGGTAGATTCCTCAAGGCAATGCTGGGATTTAGGTATCAGCAAAGCAATGCGGATCACACCTTGTTTGTCAAACGCAATGTACATAAGGTAACAGTGCTTATTTTATATGTGGATGACATAGTTGTGATAGGTAATGATGAGGAGGAGGTGACCCATCTCAAGATGCAGTTAGCCAAGGAGTTTGAGATAAAAGAACTTGGTCCATTGCGATACTTTCTTGGGATTGAAGTTGCTCGATGTGATAAAGGCATCTTTATTTCTCAAAGGAAGTACATTCTAAATCTTCTTGAGGAAACGGGCATGTTGGGCTGTAGACCAGCTGATTCACCAATTGAGACTAATCATCATCTTTGTAATGGAATTGGTGAGCCTGTGGAGAAGGAAAGGTACCAAAGACTTGTGGGAAGACTGATATATCTCTCTCATATTCGTCCAGATATTGCCTATGTAGTTGGGATAGTGAGTCAGTTTATGCATGATCCTCGTGCAACTCATTTGGATGCAATCTATCGCATTTTGAGGTACCTTAAATCTACCCCTGGAAAAGGAATTTTGTTCTCTAATCATGGTCACTTGCGGTTGGAAGCATTCACAGTTGCAGATTGGGCAGGCTCTGTAGATGACCAACGCTCTACCTCCGGTTATTGTGCTTTTGTAGGGGAAAATTTAGTCACATGGCGTAGTAAGAAGCAAGCGGTCGTTTCTAAATCTAGTGCTGAAGCTGAATATAGGGCAATGGCACATGGAACATGTGAACTAATGTAGTTTCAATCTTTGTTGAGTGATATAGGGCTTGATTGGAGTGGTCCCATGACTTTGTATTGCGACAACAGCTGCTATTAGTATTGTACACAATCCTGTACAACATGACCGGACTAAGCATATTGAGATTGACAGACATTTCATTAAGGAGAAATTGAATAAGGGTGTGATATGTATGCCTTTTGTTAAGTCTGAAGATCAACTGGCGGATGTTTTTACTAAGGGTCTTAGTAGTAAAGTCTTTCACCCTATTTGTTGCAAGTTGGGCATGAGAAACATCTTTGCACCAATTTGAGGGGGAGTGTTAAGTGTTAGGGTAGTTTGGTCTATGTATTATTCTTATTAATATAAGTAGTTATGTGTAAGGGGGAAACCCTATGCTTTTTGAATTAATATTATACAGCAGCTTTCCCTCGTTCTATTTCTTCTTCTTATTCTTCTTCTTCTTCTCATCTATACATTCAACAAAAACTTATGCACATCCTAGTGAAATAGGTAGTCTTGGTAAATCAGTTTAAACATATGTAACTTTTCATACAGAACTAGAGTCCAAGTAACCTTCCGAGTGAGATTTAAATAGATTTGAACTGCTATACAAAATGTGTTTGATATATCACCACAGAGCACTGGGTTGACAGCATAGCTTACTTAGATTGCAGAATCCTTTGCTGAGGAATACAGCTGGGCTCTAAACTTGAAAATTGTCAAGTTACAGCAACTTCTGCTCCCAAATTATGTATAGTACATCTAGTGATTTGTTTTTTTGTTTTGGTTTAAATATTTCTGAAACAAAATCAGCTAATCCTGATCTTCTTGTACTCTATCTGGGACCTACAACAGCTTTAGAAAAAAATAAAGAACTTTTGCTGGAGTTTTTATTGCCCTACCTGAGATCTTATGAAGCATGGACGCTCTAAAATTAGTGCCGTGGCGGTGTCCGACACGGGGACACGGGACATGCCAGATGGCGTGTCCCTTTAATTTTATGATTTTTTTGTAAGGGACACGGCAGGGACACGACGGGGACACGGCAGGGCTTTTTTTTTTTTTTTTTTTTTTTAATCTTTTGCCTCTCTTATTTAGTGCTTTTGTGAAAAATATTATTGGATGTTGAATGTTTTCCCCTTCTCGTCTTAGTTCTTGTTATCATTATTATGACTTTTTTGTGATTTTTTTTGTGAATGGATGATCTATTAATTTGTTTAAATGTAATGGTTATGTTTATTCAATTAATGTTACTATGTTAGTGTTTGTTATTTTTAATTTAGGATGAATGTAATATGAATCTACGTAACACAAAAATATATAAAATAAATAAAATAAAATTCGCCGTGTCCTCCCATTTTTTGGAAATTGCCGTGTTCCGTGTCCGTGTCCGTATCCGTGTCTGTGTCCGTGCTTCATAGCGGAGATCTTTTTCTAATTTACCGATGTAGAAAGAAGTGACCAGTACTGGTGGCTGAAATATTGTAAACTATTAGGCAATTTTTGGTCTTGACTTTACCTTTACCTTTTTATTTGTGACGTTATAGTTGATGCGAAATTATATATCTGGTTAAATTAACTTCAAGTCTGCAAAAGGTCACATTCTGACAATAATGGGAAAATACAATAGGTGTCTTGTGGGAACTGGAACATACAGTTGAGAACTAAAAGCAATGCTAAAGTTAATGACTGGGTTGCTGCAATTAATGATGCTGGTATTCGGCCTCCTGAGGGCTGGTGTCATCCTCACCATTTTGGTTCTTTTGCTCCTCCACGGGGTTTGACTGAAGATGGTAGTCAAGCTCAGTGGTTTGTAGATGGCCTAGCAGCATTTGGAGCTATTGCTTTGGCAATTGAGGAAGCAAAGTCAGAGGTATATTTCTTGCAGCCATAGTGTTGCCAAATTATAATCAAGCACACTTTAATTTCCGATGTTGTCTACAGAACACTTGTTGGATGATTAAAAGTTGAATGCCAGATATTTATCTGTGGCTGGTGGCTGTGCCCAGAACTGTACCTCCGACGTCCTTTTCAGGCTCATGCATCCTCTCGGCTTGATGCCTTACTGGAAGAAAAAGCCAAGAAAGGTGTTCAGGTACACTAGTTCCTGCAAATGATTTTTTGGTTTAATACTGCATTGTTTCATCTGGATTGATCATACGTTGTTTGGGATACCTTTTTTTTATTGGATTTCTTACAAAATAAGTTGTAAAGTTTCCATTGTGATGATCGGTTCTGAGTTTTTTCTACTAATTTGATATCTTTATAATTTGATAGTTGAACGGATCCTTTACTTCTGCCGTCAAATTACTCTATTGATTATTGGCATCTACATGATAGAAAACATTGTTAAAGATCTTTGTGCTATCATATCATGTCTTGTTCATGTAGTGTCAATGAGTCATTAAAATTTACATGGGAAAAGCAGTACATGTAGGCCATGTTTGTTTGGGCGGACTGGATTAGCATTCCCATGACTAATAGTCCTAGGACTACGAATCCGTTGGATTATGTATCCTATCTTAACTAATAGTCAAGTTTAAAATAATTAGTCCGTATTTCAATTGTTTAACCAAACATCGGATTAATAATTTTCTTGGACTATTAATCAAATCCCAAGCTCATGTCCACCCAAACAAACATGATCGTAGTTGAATACTGCTCTGTGTTTCCTTATTTTGAAGGAAAAATATTAGAATTCAATGCACTTTTTATTGAAATCAATACACTTTTTAATTGTTTTCAGCTATTTTCAAGACAATTTTACCTCAATCCCACTATTCAACAAGGGACAAGTTCCCGGGGGCACTCTTTAGCATTTGACTTCAAATTTTGGAGGCATCCAAGAAACTGTAGGAATGTGTTTATGAATGTCCAAGAAGTGTATCAGTGCCTAGCATAGACATGGCTCCTCTATAGAAGGGTCCATTCTACTTAGGCCTCCATCCAGATAAGCGACTGAAGAAGGAACTGATGCGTGATGTGCCTCATCATGTATTTAATATTATTTTAAGTTGGTCGATTGATCTATTGTTTGTGACGAAACTACATCAATCTCTAGCATGCTTGAAGCTCAAAGATTTAGGTTAAATAGTTTGTTATTAAGCCCAACAAATTTATTATCTTCTACCAAATTGGAGAAGATCTTTTACTTTGATTTTAAATAAATTGTCAAGCCCTCAAGTCAACCCGCTATAAATTTGTATGTTCTTTGCAACATTGGAGAAGATTTCCCTTTTTGTTTTAGGGAGAAGCCGTCATGGCCTCGGGTCCTTTCTAGAAGAATATTTTGGAATTTGCACTTGGTTTTCTTCTTCTTTAATTTGCATACACAAAATTTGTGTGCAACCATCTCAATTCATTGTTACAACCTATTTACATGTTAGTGCATGATTTGTTTTCATCGAGCTTCACTATTTCCACCGTATTTTTAACTCATGAAAATAATTTCTTCCAAACTGAATCTATGTTATTGGCATTGATGTTACCATTTGCTACTAAAATCTACATTGGTCCACTTGGATGTATGTTGATTTTGATCAATTTATGGTTGCAGATTTATGTACTTCTATACAAAGAGGTTGCTCTTGCTTGAAAATCAACCAGTGTCTATTAGTAAAAAAGCTCTCGGATTCATGAGAATCTCAGAGTACTACGTTATCCCGACCATTTCTCTAGTGGTGTCTATCTATGGTATGCAGTTTATAAGGAACCCTCCGGAAGTTCTTCCTGACTTTGTGATTTGGAATTTTTTATTTCTTTCAATTGAAACAGATTTTGCAGCTGCTGATAATCATTTTTGGCTACCTATAGGTCCCACCATGAAAAACGTGTCATTGTTGATTACCAGATTTGTTTTATTGGGGGACTAGATCTTTGCTTTGGACGTTATGACTCATTTGAACACCAAGTGGGTGATTACCCTCCCACGGTTTGGCCTGGGAAGGACTACTATAATCCAAGGTATGCTCCTTCATCTCCACATTCGGATCCTGATTCAGAAAGTCCAGTGGAGGATTCTCAGAAGATCAAATAGGACATGTTATGCCTGCTCAGCTGTATCTTAATTTGTTTAGTTGACAGACTAAGGTTCTGTATTCTTGAAGTTCCTCTGAAAATTTATTTAAGACCAAAATAATGAAATTTCAGGTGAGCAGATTACTATTGTTATATACTTGCATTGGAGTAACATAAGTATGATTTTTTTGTCGATATAAAAGTATTTGCCTATGCTCTTCATGTCTCCTGATCAGATGGGTTAAATCAATCTTTTATGTACTGGAGTGATGGTAAATAAAGTCTCTTCTCTTGAAAACAGCCACTAGCTAGCATTTGTAGTTTGCATATGGCAATTACTTGTGACATTTTTTTTTTCTTTTACATAGTTGCAAGTTGTTTAATGTCTTCTAATTTCAATTTCCAAGCGAATCTGAACCTAATTCTTGGGAAGATACAATGAAAGATGAATTGGATCGTCAAAAATATCCACGTATGCCATGGCATGACGTTCATTGTGCCCTGTGGGGACCACCCTGTCGTGATGTTGCCAGGCACTTTGTTCAGCGTTGGAACTATGCTAAGGTTGATCTTTGGTGATTACTGTTATGATTCTCCTGTTACATGTTTGATATTCGTGTAGTCTTAATCATCACCTATTATTTCAGAGAAATAGAGCTCCAAATGAGCAAGCAATTCCACTGCTCATGCCTCAGCACCACATGGTTATTCCACATTACATGGGTGGAAGTGAAGAGATGGAGGTCCAAACCCATGTTGGAAATGATCATAAAGACATCAGAATGCAGGATTCTTTTTCCTCTCGGTCATCTTTCCAAGATGTCCCTCTGCTATTGCCTCAAGAGGCTGATGGGCTGGATACTCTTACTGGAGACCCAAAATTAAATGGCTTGGCTAGGACTTGGGATTTCCGTGATCAGCCAAGTAGGGGTAACAGGAGTCCTTTCTCTTTCCGTAAGCCCCAAATTGATCCTTCAACATCAAATCTGCCAATGAAAGGCTTTGTGGATGACCTTGGTACTTCAGATTATCAGCATGAGTTGCCTTCAGATGCCATGATGCTGCCTGGCATTAGATCTTCAGATAAAGAATGGTGGGAGACACAGGAACGAAGTGATCAAGTTGTTTCCGCTGATGAAACTGGGCAAGTTGGTCCTCGTATTTCATGTCATTGTCAGGTGGGTTGTAAGTCTTGAAGTTGCCAGACATTTCTTAAGTTCAGTAATGTTGATCTTATTAGAATTTCTGATAGACTGTGCAGTTATCCTGTGGGATTGATGTTATCAGTTATCTCCTCTCCATTATAATTTTTTCATTCAACAAGTTGAAGAAATTGTTTTACTTTGTTGATCAATTCAACCAAGCATTCATTTGATTCTATTTCATATTTTAATCAGATAATAGTGTAAATTGTCTAATTAAGAGCTTCAAAATGAATGATCTTGGGGAGAGATGTCTACATTAAAATCTTTAGGGAGGTTTGTGATATATAAGAAGAGAAATTCACATTTCAGAGGTTTCTTTTGCTTATTCGAATCTCAGTTTTGAATTTTTGTGAATTGTAGTTACCCACACAACAGAAGAAAAATAAGAAGAGAAACACTAACCAAGTGTTTCTGGAATTAAATTAGATCTATGCAATGACAATATTCCACTTTTATATTCTTCTTCTTCTTCATTTTTTGTTTGGTATCTACATCACATATGTTGTGTACAATAGTTATTTAGCATTTCATATGCATTTACAGGACCCGACATATCCTTGGATCCTATAGTTTGTCTATTTTATAATGATTCACATTATCTAAAAAAGGAACAAATCTATCTTCAATATTTTTGTCTTTGAGTACCTTTATTGATGTTGCCATTGGATTTGCTAGTGGCAAAAGCTCCGGAGACAACTTGGAAAGCTATTCAAGTTGATACAGATGGGCTGAGGCTTAAAGTTGGGTAGAAAATAGAATTTAACATGCTATTAGTTTCATGCTTTTACAGGATATCGAGGAAGTTTACTTGTCTGTGTGTTGGATGAGCATAGTAATATAATTGATTTATACAATAAGATGGGAATATTCTGATCTGATGGAAGCCCTTGGACAAGCATAGTTATATAATTGCCTACATCCAATCCCAGACTATATAATAAATACATATATGTTGCTTAGCAACTCACATGTCCATTTTATTTTGTTTGTTATATTTGTCTTTGTATCATTTTTAATCATCACCTCTCATTTTCAGATTATACGGAGTGTCAGCCAATGGACCGCTGGAACAAACCAAATTGAAGAGAGTATTCATAATGCTTATTGCTCTCTAATTGAAAAGGCAGAACACTTCATCTATATTGAGGTATATAATAAGATTTTTCATCGTTCATACTGTAATAATTTTTGTGAATTTATTATGTTCAAAATCAATGGTTTAGCAATATAAATAGAGGGACTCAAAGAACTCCACAAAAGAGATTTTAGTTGTTGAAGAAAAAATTGGAGAAAAGAACAGGAAAAGATTATGTAGTGCACTATTCTTGAGAAGCATAGCCACGGAGATAATTTTGCTAGTATCTGAAACTGTCTTCTTCTTAGTACTAAAGTGTTAAATTCATTTAGATAAAAAATGTGTTAGAATTTACCATCACCTACCACCACTACCACCTCACCTACTCCACTAAACCTAACCCACTACACCACTACCACTTCACCTACTCCACTAAACCTAACCCACTACAACACTACCACTTCACCTACTCCACTAAACCTAACCCACTACAACACTACCACTTCACCTACTCCACTAAACCTAACCCACTACAACACTACCACTTCACCTACTCCACTAAACCTAACCCACTACAACACTACCACTTCACCTACTCCACTAAACCTAACCCACTACAACACTACCACTTCACCTACTCCACTAAACCTAACCCACTACAACACTACCACTTCACCTACTCCACTAAATATTTTTATATATTTTCTTGTTTTGTTACTCTCTCCAAACTCAAGTTGGTTTGTGTCTAACCTCCTTGAGTTTGAGGGGGGCTGTTAAACCTACTCCACTAAACCTAACCCACTACACCACTACCACCTCCACTTCACCTACTCCACCTACCACCTACTACCACCTACTCTTCTATATATAGGAATCATTGTAACATATCAATAAAAATCAATCAATAATACAATTCTCTATTTCTCTTTATACATTAAATCTCTACAAAATGTAATGGAGAACTTTTTATTAGAAACTTGAGATCTTTTTTAGTATGTAACATGTCAAGTTGAAATTCATAATAATGCTTCTCCACAACTTGAATCCATTTCTTTCCTTCAAGTAGTACAAACGTAATTATGTGAAGAAAGTTTTGTTACATGAGAAACAAAGTGGCCTATATGCTTTAACTTTCCACGAGACAATTTATAGTTGATTCCATATACCTGACCTTATGCTACATATTATTACCTCGAAATTAGGAATGTTAATGATTAATCTTGGTTCTAACTTCTAATCATGAGCAATTTCTTAAATTGAGTTTTTGCTAGAGCAAACACATTCCGTTATCAAAATTTCCGTCTTAGGTTTGGTTTCTGATCTTTGTGTGAAAGGTCTGTTCTGCAGCATGCCACCAATGAATTGGAAATGAAGAAAAAAACGTTATGTGATCGTCATTACTATCATCATCATAGTAATCTTGCAGTCTGCCTATTACTCAGTCCATCCAAGTCTATTATAATTGCTGTATTTTGTTGTTTATATTGGCTTCATCGTGGGGTTTTGCATCAAGGAGACTTCCAGAAGTTTCAATTCACTTTTCTTGTTTCTGACAATTTCCTTTTATGCACGGGCCACATATCTCCAGAACCAATTCTTCATCTCAGGTCTTTTGGGAGATGAGGTTATACGGAACGGCATACTAGAATCATTATATAGGCGTATTATGCGAGCATACAATGAGAAGAAGTGCTTCAGGGCTTTTATTATCATACCGCTTCTACCTGGCTTCCAGGTAATAACACTTGGTGATTTGCTTTCAATGTCAAATTTTAGGTAGTTATTCCGTTTTCATAATAAGTTTTTAACAGGGGGGCGTGGATGATGGTGGTGCAGCAGCTGTGAGAACCATTATGCATTGGCAATATCGAACAATTTGCAGAGGACACAATTCAATATTGCATAATCTTTATGATCTTCTTGGTTCTAGGATGCATGATTACATATCGTTCTATGGCTTAAGAGCTTATGGCAGACTTTTTGACGGTGGTCCCGTGGCAACCAGTCAGGTGTTTATAGCTTTTTATTTTGAAAATCTATGCCAGTGTGTTTGATGTAGCTTTTTTTTACAGTTTATGAAGCAAAAATAACTTAAATAAGCTGAAAAAAGCTGATTATTGGAAAGCAGTGGAGAAGTGCTTTTAACTTCTGCTTTCTGATTATTAGCTTTTAGCTTACTAGAAGATGCACCAAACAGGCCTATTGTCTGCATTTACGCACCTTACTGCTTATATTTTCCTTGTCCTTGATCAATCACAAAAGGTATATACAGGCATCACTTTCCAGCAACATTTGGCCCTGCACCTAGAAGTGTAATGCAGAAAAAACTTTAGCGTGTATCACATAAATAAATAATCTCATTTTGCATTCTTATGTTTCTGCAGATATATGTGCATAGCAAAATCATGATAATTGATGACTGTATATCCTTGATAGGATCAGCTAATATAAATGACAGGAGTTTACTTGGATCAAGAGATTCTGAGGTATCAACTTAAACTTTTGGATCCTTTTGCATTAATGTTTTCTATTCTTTGGCCAGCTATTTTAAATTGCAGAACCGGATTATATCATAGTTGATTTCATAATGGAGCTCATTTATTTTTCATTACCCTTTCTTTCAGAAACTATATACATGAGCTCGGAATTTGAAGGTGAGGCAAAGAATTTCTGTTTGGGAATTTGTAGTTTTTTTGGGGAAAAAAATAATGCTCGGTTCTTAATATAAGCATGCAAGTTTGAAAATTTTGCATCCGTGGATTCTCTTTGTTCCTCTTTTTTTTTTTCTTTTCAAATATTTGTGAAGTGAGCCATTGATGCAAGCTGCTGAACAGTTCAGTTTTTTTTTTACCCTTTAAAATTTACAAATTAATAACTAAAGTAGTAGATACAATTATTTACTTTCAGATTGCTATTCTTAACACACAGAATTTTGTTGTTATTTCTGACTTCCTGAATTTTTCCTCCATTTGGTCACAACCAATCACATTACCAGCAACTCTAAACTTCTTGACAAACTACAAATCTATCATGATATGCTCCTCATTTTAATGTACAAATCTCCATCACTTTTTTGTAGTAGTTTTTCCTAGTTGTTAACAAAAATGTTGTCGATTCAGATTGGTGTACTTGTTGAAGACAAAGAATTTGTTGATTCATGTATGGGAGGAAAGCCTTGGAAGGCAGGAAAATTTTCTTCAAGTCTTCGCCTTACGCTATGGTCTGAACACCTTGGTCTTCCAGCTGGGGAGGTTTGTACATCTAACAAAACAAATTTTTTTTTTCATAATGACTAAAGCCAAGACAGGTTAGTGAACGAGAGACTAATGAATGCTTGTGTTAATCTTAATACCTTGCTGACTGCGTATTATTCTTTTTTATTCAGATTAGTCAAATAAATGACCCGGTGGTTGATTCAACTTACAAAGACATATGGATGGCAACGGCAAAGGTGAGGATGACAAAATGTTTTAAAACTATTTTTTCTTCAGGCTTGAGACTTGAAGAAGAAAAAAAGAAAAGAAAACTGTATTCTGCACTTTTTCTTTTCTTTTGTGTGTGTGTGTGTGTGTTAGGTAGGGGAAGATTGAACCCCATATCCAGTATGGCTTTTAGAAATATTATGGTTATGTTTGGATATTGGATTTGTGGAGGGAAAAAAGAAATGAAGTAGAAACTATTTCCAAACCCCCCCCCACACACACACACACAAAAATCAAAGATAAAACAATCTAAGCCTTCTAAACGGCAAAGGTGAGGATGATAAAATGTTAGCTTTGAGTCAAAAACTTGCTCAAATGGCAGCGAAGGCAAGGTTGCCGGCCGGCTGCCCGCCGGAAAGAAAGGAGTATAGGCCTAAATCTTATAGCTCTGATACCATGTAAAAAATTCAATGTATAAATAAAGAAATAGAGAATTGTATTATTGATTGATATATGTTGTATAGATTGATAATATTCTGTATATTACAATTCCTATATATAGAGGAGAAGATGGTAGTGGAGTGTGTGATAGTGGAGGTGGATGGTAGTGGAGTGTGTGATAGTGGAGGTGGTAGGTGTGGAGAAAGATAGTGGAGGTAGTAGGTGAGTGGTAAATTCTAACACTAAGCCTTCTAAACGGCAAAGGTGAGGATGATAAAATGTTAGCTTTGAGTCAAAAACTTGCTCAAATTGCCTTTCTCATTATTTTCATGGACATGACGACCGAGGATTTAAATTCAGAGAGATAGAGAGAGCGAGAGGGAGGTTTAGTTAAGGGAAGATTGAGACCCAGATGTAGTCGGGCTTTTAAAAAAATATTAAGGTTGTGTTTAGATCTTGAATTTGTGGAGGAAAAAATAAATCAAGTAGAAGCTCTTATTTTCTTTTTTCTTTTTTTAAAAAAAATAATTTTCTCTGTTTTTTTTTCTTCCTCCTACAAATTTAAGATTGAAACACAACATGCAAGTCTTCTAAATGGGGAACACAAATGTTTTAATAGTTTGAGTTTGCTCGTGAGTAAAAAAGCAAGGGCTTTGCGAAGAAGGTTTTCTATATTTATCTTTTGCTTCTATATTCCTATGATATGATTACTAAATACAGATGTTGTATTGATAGACGAATACCATGATCTACCAAGACGTCTTTTCTTGCATCCCAAATGATCTAATACATTCCAGGTACGATCTTGCTGCCAACTTCTTCTCCTGTTTCCCTTTTTTCTCGGTTTCTAATGCATACGCATCCTACCATCACATGCAGAGTTGCACTGAAACAATGCACGACATGCTGGAAGGAAAAACTCGGCCACACTACAATTGACTTAGGAATAGCCCCAGAGAAACTAGAATCATATCAAGATGGTAATATCAAAGGCACTGATCCCTTGGAGAGATTAGAGTCGGTAAAGGGACATCTCGTTTCTTTTCCTTTGGATTTTATGTCCCGGGAAGATTTAAGACCTGGGTTTAGCGAAAGCGAGTATTATGCATCTCAAGTATTTCATTAGGTATGATATACGATCGAATGAAGCCAAAGCCCTGTTGTTGTGTCTAAATTTGCTGAAACGGAAAGAGAGTAAAAGAGAACAATTTTTTTTTTTATAAATCATCATAGAAATGGTAAATATCACGGAAGGCCATTAAAAAAATTATTTTTCGCTGCAAAAGCCCTGTTGAGTGGGGAGCTTGGAGGTGTATAGAAGGAAAACAACTGGGTAGTGGTTCGAGTGTCAGACATTCGAGCTGAAAATGTGGCATCAGAGATAAGGTTTCGGTGACAAATTTGGATATTTAAGTGTCCAATTCGCAGTTAAGTTATTGTTTTACTTCTATTTGTTTTTTCCTTCTTTTTATATGTTCATGTAATTTGATTAATCATCATTGTATAAAACTCATTAATTCAGTATTTTTATTATATGTTATATTTTTGATATATGCTTTACATTATAAGCTTTGACGTATGTTGATAGGTAGTGATTTAAAAAAACTTCAAAGAGAATAATGAGGTATTTTGGAAATTAAGGTATAAACCTCAAAATTGTCAATTTTAAATTGGAGATTGTTAGCTCACAACTTATTTATTTATTTTTGATTCAAAATCCTTCCTCTCACCTAATTTCTCAATAAGCTGAACAATTTTTTGATAGAATAATGCACCTTCAATTCATCTTAAGGTTTCGGTCACATATTCAAAAATTGAAATTGTTTACTCTCTTAAAACTAGAATAATGCACCTTCAATTCATCTTTTGCATAATTTTTGAATTTATATTTTGGGTTTACTAGATGACAAATTCCAAAAGTCTATTGTTTTTTTTTACAAAGAAAAAAGAAATAAAAGTCCAACACAAAGGTTGTAATATATGTTAAGCTTTACAGTGGGTTTAGATTGAGAAATTTGATGAGGAAAAAAAAAAAAGAAGAAGAAGAAATTAAGAGAGAAATCTCATTATTTGTTTGAATAATTAAGGAGATGAAAAATAGTAAAAAATTAAGAGAAATGTCAAAAAAATAATTTTTTAAAATTTGTTTTTTGTTTCTCGGTAAGAAATTAAAATTAATCTTTATAAAAAAAATTCTAATAATTAAATTACCCATTTAAATATAAAATAAAATACATATTTTCTCTTTTATTTATTATTCATCTAGATAAAATAATAAAAAGGTAATTTTTCTCATTTATTCATTAAACTATAACCTTAAACGCACTATTAATTTTGGAGGAATAACATATCAATATATATCTTGAAAAAAAAAAATTCAAATTAATAATAAACTTTATGAACTTTAATTATTAAGGGCAGAAACTTGGGGCATTTCCCTAAATAAGTCAAAATAGTAAATCAATTCCCAAACTAAGCCTAGTTTTGAAAGAATTCTCAAAATAAGCTAACTTGTGGTTCACAATCACGATTTCAACATGGGGGCATTTCCCTAAATAAGTCAAAATAGTAAATCAATTCCCAAACTAAGTCTAGTTTTGAAAGAATTCCCAAAATAAGCTAACTCGTGCTTCACAATCACGATTTCAACATATATACGCCTGTCTCGCGTGAAATTGGGGAAGTCTTAAAATCGTGGTTACAAAAAGTGCTTTTGATTAAGAAATCGCGGTTACAAAACACGCTTTTATTTATTTATTTATTTTTTTCTGAACTTGCTGTTCCAAACCATGATTTTATCCAAAAAAATTTTTGTTCTGAATTCGCTGTTATAAACCACGATTTTATCCAAAAAAAATTTTGTTCTGAATTTGCTGTTATAAACCACGCTTTTATGAAAAAAAAAATTTCTTCTGAACTCGCTGTTTCTAACCACGTTTTTTTGTCAAAATTTTTTTCTTCTGAACTCGTGGTTATGAACCACGCTTTTAGCCTAAATTTTTTTTCTTCTAAAAGCGCGGTTTTGAACCACGCTTTTTTAGCAATTTTTTTTTTTAGTTTCAATTTAACTGAACTCTGAAGAAGAATTTTTTTTTTTTTTTTGGTTTTTTTTGTTTCTGTTGTCATTGTTTTGGTGATAATGTATTTCAGAATAATTTCTTTGGGTTAAAATTGTTTTACTAAAACCGTTCTCATGTGATTTTTTTTTTTCTTTTGTCTTTATTTTGGGTTAGAATGTGTAATTCAGCATTTTTTTCTGGCTTGACTAAAGTAAATTTATTTTGTTCTTTCTTGTGTTTATTTTGGGTTAGAAGGTAATAATGTAATTCATAATTTTTTTGAGATTTAGTAAAGCTGTTTTGATGTAATTTTTTTTTATTTTTTATTTTTTCTTTGTTTTGGGTTAGAAGGTGTTATTCAGCAATTTGTTTGGGCTTTAATAAAGCCATTTTCATTTAAATATATATATTTTTTCTTTTGTCTTTGTTTTGGGTTAGAAAATGATAATGTAATTCATAAATTTCTTTTCGCTTTACTAAAGCCGTTCTCATGTAAATAATTTTTTTTTTCCTGTTGGCTTTGTTTTGGGTTAGAAGGTGATATTGTAATCCATAAATTTCTTTTCGCTTTACTAAAGTCATTTTCATGTAAAGTTTTTTATTTTTTATTTTTTTCTCTTGTCTTTGTTTTGGGTTGGAATGTGTTATTTAGAAATTTGTTTTGGCTTTACTAAAGCCGTTTTCATGTAAATAATTTTTTTTTTTTCTGTTGTCTTTGTTTTGGGTTAGAAGGTGATAATGTAATTTTTATTATATTTTTTTTTGTCTTTGTTTTGGGTTAGAAGGTGATAATGTAATTCATAAAACCTTGAGAAAAAAACACATAAGTCTCTCACAAAAATACATAGGTAGTACAGACATAAGTCTCGGACAACAATACATTGTGGACACCATGAACTGAACACACAATACATAGATAAACATAACAGTTAGATAGACAAATATTAGCCAAACAATCTGACAAACTCATTACGGAAACACTTACTTTAACACATACATTACATATTAATGCATGACCTAATATTGCCGAAGTGTAGACATTAACACCTAATTCGCGCTTAAATCGGTAGGTGGCTCAGAGTCCGAACAATCCGAAAGCTCAGCGTCAGAGACAAGCTCAGGATCCTCCATGATACCCTTGATAGCCGCATCATTTGGTTCTGTTTTGTTCTTCTGGGCATCCTTCTTAACTATGTATAGCTGCATAATCGCGGGCTAACCTACGACGCATTTGAGAAATCTCACGTTGTAGTCTTTCACATAGTCGATCAACATTATCAGAATCTTCCTTTTGGATCTCAGCAGAACGTGCTTTTGGCACCTTCAATCGATTTTCCCGACATAATCTTTCCATTTGGACTCACTCTATAAATAGTGCGGGCCACTTCAGAAGTCTAGCGTTTGCTAAACCTATCCTGTTTGATTATCTGATGGTTCTCACCAAACCACATGAATCTCGATAGTACTTGGGCATGACAAAATGTCGCTTCCCAAACCTATCATGATAAGCACAAGAGGCATCTAACAAAGTAAATGGTGTTTCATCTTCCAGCATCGCCACTTCCCCTTCCCCTCCTCGTCCGTGACACTGTCACCCCTTTGCAAGTTCCTACCACCTCTGCGATTCCCACTCCTTCCCATGAACCATGTAGCCATGCTAATTTTTTAAAACAAATGAATGATAATTTCGTAGGGCGAAATGAGTTGTAAGGTTGTGTCTTCACCGTTAGTCGTTTATATAGTTGGTTATGAACAACTTTAGAAAGATGGCCCTGCATGACAATCCCACATATACGAACAAGGTATGAGTTGTCACTAGAATGAAAAAACAGAGAAAATGAAATATTGTGTACCAAGTCACATGACTTGACAACATTGTCTGCATATACCGACAAAGTAAGGGCATGCTCACTGTAAGGTAAATCAGTGAATTCATTGTTGCCATGTAACTTTCTGAATTAAGAATCCCACATATATTAATAACAAATGAGTTGTCACTGTAATAAAAAAATCGAGCAAAAAATTGAGAAAACCAAAGCCTATGCACCAAGTCACATGGCTTGACAATCCATCTGCATATACCGACAAAATAAGGGCATGCTCACTGTAAGGTAAATCAGTGAATTCACTGTTACCATGTGACTTTCTGAATTGAGAATCCCACATATATTAATAACAAATGAGTTGTCACTGTAATAAAAAAATCAAGCAAAAAATCGAGAAAACCAAAACCAATGCACCAAATCACATGACTTGACAATCCATCTGCATATACCGACAAAATAAGGGCATGCTCACTGTAAGGTAAATCAGTGAATTTACTGTTGTCATGTGACTTTCTGAATTGAGAATCCCACATATATTAATAACAAATGAGTTGTCACTGTAATAAAAAAATCGAGCAAAAAATCGAGAAAACCAAAGCCTATGCACCAAGTCACATGGCTTGACAATCCATCTGCATATACCGACAAAATAAGGGCATGCTCACTGTAAGGTAAATCAGTGAATTCACTGTTGCCATGTGACTTTTTGAATTAAGAATCCCACATATATTAATAACAAATGAGTTGTCACTGTAATAAAAAAATCGAGCGAAAAATCGAGAAAACCAAAGCCTATGCATCAAGTCACATTACTTGACAATCCATCTGCATATACCGACAAAATAAGGGCATGCTCACTGTAAGGTAAATCAGTGAATTCACTATTGCCATGTGACTTTCTGAATTGAGAATCCCACATATATTAATAAGAAATGAGTTGTCACTGTAATAAAAAAAATCGAGCAAAAAATCGAGAAAACCAAAGCCTATGCACCAAGTCACATGACTTGACAATCCATCTGCATATACCGACAAAATAAGGGCATGCTCAATGTAAGGTAAATCATTAAATTCACTGTTGCCATGTGACTTTCTGAATTGAGAATCTCACATATATCAAATTGGTGTTGAGGTAAATCTGTTTGTGTATAATTAATTGTAAATAGTGATTTTGACAAGCAAATTAAGTAAAACCAATTGGGTTTTAAATTTAGTTCCCCAACTGGACCAACCACTTGGCTTTGAGCTTGTTTGTCCAGCCCCCCAAGTTTAGTTATCTGTCAACCCCCCATTCCTTACCAGAGTCATCATTTTGACTGGACTTCCAAGAATTGGAAGGCGACTCTTTCTTCTTTCTCGATGGAGATTGAAATTCTTTACGTACAGGATCCCTATTTCACGAGCCCCAGTTAAGGGAACCTTTTCACCGAGCTACCTGTTCTGTTTTATGTGTTGTTCAAGGCTGTTGTTCGTTTGTATGAACTTTATTTAGTTCCGCAACTGGACCAACCACTTGGCTTTGAGCTTGTTTGTCCAGCCCCCCAAGTTTAGTTATCTGTCAACCCCCCATTCCTTACCAGAGTCATCATTTTGACTGGACTTCCAGGAATTGGAAGGCGACTCTTTCTTCTTTCTTTCCTGATGGAGATTGAAATTCTTTACCTAGAGGATCAGT